CAGGTGCTCTGAAGGGTTGCAGAGAAGCTCCCTGTCCTGCGCTAATACCGGGAGCCCAGAGAGCCAGGACTGTTTGCAAAACCACTCAGGTGTAAGGGTTGAGTCTGAAATGCTCCGGTTCACCCCACGGAGCCCCTCTGCGGGTTGGGTTTGACGCTGCTGCCTTGGTTTGCCTTTAGGTGCAGGGTTACAGCTGGAGAAGAGAACGATTCAGCACTCACTCAGAAGACCAGAGCCAAAACCAGCCTGGGACCCACCACCCTCCTCTTCCGGAGGGGCTGGCACCAGCGCAACATGGACCGCTACCAAAACCAGCATCCACTTCAGCTGAAAGCTCGAGGGACAGAAGTAGGTCAGTCTGAAACACTGCCCGGGGGGAGCGGGGGGGAAGATTTTGATTAATGAGGTCTCCAACCTGAAGCACAGCACCAGCTCCTACCAAACAGCCACCACAGATGCCACTGGCCAAGACGAACGGCACCTTGGAGGGTGAGCAGCGAATTTCACCGAGAACCTCCGCTCCTGGGGCAGCGACAGCCTGACCCCGTACTCAGAGACCAGCCTAGAGACCTCTCAAGCCAGGTCTGACCACACCTGGATGGGCCAAAGGGTCTTCTACAAACTAACAGTGACCTTTTCCAGAAGCAAAGAAGCCAGCGTAGCACCCATCGCCACCGTGTCCCACCAAGAGCAGCCTCCACGTCACCTTGGCCACTGCTTCGACATAGCACAGCAAGGTAGAACAGGAGGGCAAAAGCAGGATGAATGCAACCCCGCGCCGGAGTTGCAGATGTGCGTTAGAAAAGCAAAGGGTAAACGAGCTTTTAGCTGACCCAGCTCCATCACCACCGCTGGCCAACGGCACCGGAGCAAGGCTGACACGCCGCGCTGAACGATTTTGGGATGGGGGTGTGCAAGGGAATGCTGGTGCGCCGAAGGACTCCCACGTCTCGAGCGAGTGACGCACGCTGAAGCAAACAGGGACAACTGGAAACAAGGCTCCGCTTCAGGGAAGTTCCTGCAGGTGTCGGAAGGGATCAGAAACCCCACGCAGAGTTTTGCCATAAAGGTGACCAGAGCTCATCTGCAGCTTGTGTTTGCACAAAAATCAACTGTTCCCTCGGACCCGCGTATGAAAAGAAAAGAAAAAAAAAAAAGATTTGAGCTGGCTTCCAAAAAGCGCTATTTCTCTAGAGACTTTCCAGGTCCATCACAAGCAGGCACAGATGCTCTCAGAGGAGAAGAGTTTGGGGGCCTTGCTGGGACTGACCTGAGACCAAAACAGCTCTCAGACTACAACCTGCAGGTACGCAACGCACCCGGGAGGTAACACCAGGCCAGCTCTATTTAAGAAGCTTACATATGTTTCCAGAGCCTTAGAAGCTCATGCTTACAACACGCTGCTCCCCTGGCTCTGGCAAAGCCGCCTGCGTCAGGCGGCTGATGGTTACGAGAGGAGAGACCGCCACCGAGCCCC